TAGTTATGATATCAAAATGTATAGAATAATTTGAATAAAATTTGTATATACACATATATATTAATAAAGACATGAGGTATGACCTCACCTTAAAAAAAAAAAAATTAAAAATAAAAATAAAAATCTAATATACCACGTAGATCATATGAAAAATGATCTATGTACACCCTACCCTTAAATGCATTAGTGCAATAATGCATTTATGTGAGACTCCGCTCCTCTTAAACATATAAATAATTTGTTTTACTCACGTGTGATCTTTCTCTTACTTTTTTTCACACCTTTATTTCGCATTTTTTTTTCAATCTTTTTTTTCTTTTTCGTTATATTCTTTCTTTTTACCTTTTTTAATTCGTAAATATGGCTTTTGAATTGAACAAAATAAATTCTACCACTATATCACTTGACTTTACTAATAATATGTTAATTGAGTTAAATGAAAATGAAACTGATAATATGTCTTTTGAGTTAATGAAAAGAGAAATAGCTAATAATTTGTCTGTCGAACGAACGAACTTTGATCCAAATGACTCTACTTTAAAAACATCTGAAATGGCAAGAGAATGTCGTAATTGTCTAGCTAGAGAAAGTTATACTAGAAAAATGGTCCATGAAATCAACTATCCAGTAATTGAGAATTCTGAAAGTGTGCGTGAACGTAAAAACCAGCTTGAAAGAGAGGCATACGCATGCTGTAAAACAACTCTTAGCAAACAGCAAATCTTACACCACGCACACAAAATCGAGCTAACTATGCACAATGACTAACATCTAAAACTACAGAAAGTGCAAAAAACCAAAGGGCAAAGCGTCTAAAAGTAAACCACCATGCTTCAAATACGGCCCGTATGGAACAATATAATAGTACTACTGTTAATGTGCATTATTTGGGTTATATGAATATTGAGTGCATACACTGTGGCACTTTGCACTGGAAAGATAAAAAGATTTCTGGAACATTAAAAAAACCAGTCTTGAGTACATGTTGTGCAAAGGGTAAAGTGCATTTGCAACCAGTAGCACCAACACCTATTTTGCAGTCTTTGTTAACCGAAAATACTATGCACGCACACAATTTTCGGCAAAAAATCCATATGTATAATTCAGTCCTTGCATTTACTTCAATGGGCGCAAAGATCAATGATCAAGTTACTAGAAGCAGTGGGGTATACTCTTTTCGAATTCATGAAGAAATGTATCACCGAATCAGGTCGCTTTTACCAGAAGATGCCACTAAGCCAAAGTTTTGTCAAGTTTATTTGTATAATACTGAAGAACAGCAGCTACGTAGGCAGAGTATTATGCCAGATTTGGATTCTTCTGTGCTAGCCGAACTTCAATCAATGCTTCATAATGTAAATCCATATGTTCATGTTTTCTGACAAGCAGCACAATTGTTGCGTAAAAATCCTGCACAAGAACTAAAAATGGAAATAATTAAGGCACGTGATGAACAACAATATGCCATTCCTACCTCTTCAGAAGTTGCAGTGCTCATAGTTGGTAATGGTGATGATCCTGAACCTTTAGACTGCAATATAATTCTTCATAATCAAGGAGAAGGTTTGTAACAAATTTCTCAAATCCATTCGTCTTATTTCCCATTGCATTATGTGCTACTTTTTCCACATAGTGAGCCTAGATGGCATCCGGCTATCTCTATGCATAATATATTAGACAAACCTCAAAACAATGATGCTGCGGATTTGAGTAATTCTGAAGACTATGGTGAAGAAGAAAGTTCAAAACATGTGACGATGATGCAGTACTATATATATCATTTGCAAATTCGTGGATATGCACTGCTAGAATCATTCTCTCTGCACAGATCCGGTCATCTGTTTCAACAATTCATCGTAGACAGTTATGCATGCATTGAACAAAATCGGCTTAACTATATAAAGGCTAATCAAAAAAAAATAAGAATAGAATTATATGATAGATTACAGGATGCACTTACAACTAATGGTGAGGCACCACAAGATTCTTCACACATCGGAAAGAGAATTATTCTTCTGTCTAGCTTCGTTGGTGAACTACGTTATATGCACGAACTTTACCAGGACGCTATGACCATCGTTGGACAAGCAGAAAAGCCTGATTTGTTCATTACAATGACGTGCAATCCGAAATGAACGGAAATTCAAACTGCTTTATTACCTGGACAGAGTGCATATGATCGTTCTGACCTTTGTGTATGTGTTTTTAATATGAAGCTGAATGCTTTGCTTGATGATATATTAAAGAAAAGGATCTTCAGTAAAGCAACAGCACATATTTATATTATTGAAGCACAAAAGCGTGGTCTCTTGCATGCGCATATGTTAATAATGCTTGTAGATGAAGACAAACCACGTACTACAGATGACTTTGACCTTATTGTATCGGCAGAGATACCTGACTCAGATAATTATCCAAATGAATATGCGACTGTGGCTAAATGTATGATGCACAGACCCTGTGGTTTACCAAATATGAAGGCACCATGCATACAAAACGAAAAATGTTCAAAAGGATATCCTAAACCATTTCAACCTGTTTCTCTTGAAAATGAGGATAGGTATCCTATTTATCGTCAACGTAATGATGGTCCCACTGTAGAAGTTAAAAGTATTCAACTTGACAACTGTTGGGTTGTACCACACAATCTATACCTTTGTAAAAAGTACAATTGTCATATTAATGTTGAGATTTGCTCTTCTATTCAAGCTGTAAAATATCTGTTCAAATATATTTACAAAGGTCATGATTGTGCGACTGTAGTAATTAGCAACAACAATGCAGATACTAGCTCAAACCAACCTAATAGCAACAACAATGCAGATACTAGCTCAAACCAACCTAAAATAGTAGATAAAATTCGACAATACATTGATGCTCGCTATGTATCAGCATCAGAGTCGTTCTGGCGTATTATGCACTGCAAAATGCATAATGAGACACCCGGTGTAATTCGGTTGAGTATTCACTTACCCGATCAACATTTAGTACCATTCTCTATTAACCAACCCCTGGATATGATTATACAAAACTCAAATAATCAGAAAACAACCCTGTCAGCATAGTTTCAAGCAAATAGAAACCCATCTCTGTCAGATCTGGCCAAAGAGTTTACATATGCACAATTTCCACGCAGGTTCGTTTTTGATAAGCAATCAAAAAAGTGGAAATTGTGTAAATGTAGAAATGCTATTGGGCGTCTTTATTTTGTGCATTCGGGTGCGGGCGAGCATTATTATCTGCGTATGCTCCTTAATGTAGTTCGTGAAGCAGAATCATTCAAACATCTATGCACTGTAAATAATATTGAATATGCAACATTCAAAGATACATGTCGTACAATGAATCTGCTTCAGGATGACTTGGAATGGGATCAATGTCTTAATGAAGCATCAAATATACAAACTGGACAACAATTACAGCTTTTGTTTGCGACCATCTTAGTTAATTGTCATCCAATGGAACCTGAGCGCCTCTGGACAAAATACAAAATTGCACTTAGTGATAACATATTATATCATGTACAAAGGCAAACTCAAAATCAACATCTACAACTTATAGAAGATGAAATCGAGAATCGTGCATTATGTTTACTAAATGACATACTAACACAACAGGGAAAATCTTTAAAAGATTTTCCTAATATGCCAATTCCTATTGTGGTTAATGAAATAGAAAATTTTTTAATAGCCGAAGAGTTAGACTATAATCAAGAAATACTTACTGAATTTGTTGATCAAAATGAAATCCTTTTGAATAGTGATCAACAAGATATATATAACGATATCTTACGGGCTGTTGAGCAAAACGACTCTGTGTGTTTTTTTATAGACAACCAGCTGGCACTGGAAAGACCTTTCTCTATTCCATTTTGTTAGTGAAGGTGCGCTCTCAAGGGAAACTCGCATTGGCTGTTGCTTCCTCTGGAATTACCGCATTGTTACTTAACGGTCGAACAGCACACTCACATTTTAAAATCCCTTAAATCCTGATGAAGATTCAACATGCAACATTGCAGTACAATCAGATCTTGCTGAACTTATTAGACAAACAATACTAATTGTCTGGGACAAAGCACCGATGATGCACCATTACGCATTCGAAGCTGTGGACCGCACTTTGAGAGATATCATGAGTAATAATGAACCATTCAGTGGTAAAGTTATTGTATTCGGCGGCGATTTTAGACAAGTTCTTCCAGTAGTTCCTAGAGGCAGACGAGAAGACATTATTAATGCATGTCTGTGTCAGTCGTGGCTGTGGCAATATGTTAAAGTGAAAAAACTAACAATTAATATGCGATTAAAAAGGACAGGTAGTTCTCTAGATACTGACACACAAAAAGAATTCGCTGAATGGCTACTAAAACTTGGGGAAGGACGCATTCCTGAAATTCTACCTGATAGTAGTTTTATTCAATTGCTATTGGAAACTATACTTAACGGCAACAATTCTCAGGGATTAATTGATTTTGTGTATCCAGAACTACAGACTCGATCTCAAGATGCTGTTTATTTACTTGAGAGGGGAATTCTCGCTCCAAGAAATGATGAAGTTGATGAACTGAATTCAGAAGTACTTGCACAATTTCCTGGTGCAGAGACAACATATTATAGTGCGGATTCTCTAGATCAAAATTCTGAGATATACAATCCTAACCAGGAACGACTCTATCCAACTGAGTTTCTTAACTCATTAAAATTCAGCAGTCTACCACCTCATGTATTGACACTTAAAGTTGGTGCCCCTATTATACTGCTACGGAACATCAATGCAGCTGAAGGTCTTTGCAATGGAACAAGGTTAATTATCAAAGCGCTTTAGAAACATGTTATCGAAGCTGAACCTCTAAGTGGGCCTCTAACTGGAAAAAGAGTTTTTTTACCCTGTGTCATGTTGACTCCCAGCAATACACCATTGCCATTTGTTTTTAAACAGCTTGCCTTTGCAATGTCTATTCACAAATCTCAAGAGCAAACTATAAATTGGCTTGGTCTTTACATCCCGACTCCTGTCTTTTCGCATGGGTAACTATATGTCACATGCTCAAGAGTAACTTCATCCCAAAGGCTTCGTATCTTCCTCGGACAGACAGAACTTCCAGGATGTACTAAGAATATTGTATAACGTGAAGTTCTTCAGTAATAATTTACGTAGGATGTCTTGACTCAAAGTACCTATAAAAGAATATCAAAAACGAAATTTACTAACTTATTTTCTTAAGTTAACAACAATTAATTACACAAAATTGATTTAGTACTAAGCAAAAGTTTGATCTTCCCTTAAAACAAATAATATATTTTATATTAGATAAAATATTTTAAAATCCGTATATGTTACTTATGCCATGAATAAAATAACCAAAATCAAAAATAGTAAAAAAAAAAGTTATTTTTTTCTAAATTCGATAAAAATATTCAATAAGTTTAATAGATCTAGAGACAAGACATTAAAAGTTTTATTTACTGCTACAGTACGTATTTTTTGCATGATGCGGTATATCATTCAATTTGCAGATCGAAGCTTACATGCTCAATAGCACAAGGTGCAAAATTAGAAAATATTGCTTGAGAATATTATTAAAATATTTTACTTTCATTAAATATTTACTTAAACAAGACGCTTTATATTTGCATGATCAAATCGACCAAATAGTTTTATAGCTTGGCGTACGTTTTAAATTTTAAAATTATAGCTCCGGATGTTATAATTAATGTATAATAATACTGTAATGCTGGCAAAAACTTTTATAATAGCGGTGCAATAATCATATGCCAATAAGTTACGTTGCAACTTAAATGTAATTTTTGTAATTTTCTACTCTACCTGTCATAGGAAAACTTTCGTATTATTTATACAGTTTAAAGTACTTTACTTTTTTAAAAAAAATTAAACTACGAAGAACAAACAAAAAAAAAAGTATGTAGAAAATTTTAATAGGGTTGTAGAATTTAACTATTAAAAATAATATCTATCTTTAAGTAGTCGCTATTGTGTTAACTTCTCTAAAACCAAAAATGATTTTGATTATTGTTAATGATGGAGTCCTACAACCCTATTAAAACTTTCTATATACTTCTTTAGTGTTTATTCTTCGTAGTTTGTTTTTTTTAAAAAGTACTTTAAACTGTATAAATAATGTAAAATTAAATAGACTTAAACAACCAACCAAACGAAAGTCTTCCTATGCCCTACCTGTACTAATACCAATTTATGACGATAAACATATGTACAATTCTAATTTTATATACACAAATAACCCGTCGTTTAACGACGGGTCCAGTATCTAGTTTTATCATAAATTTTTATTAATAATCACCAAATCGAAAAAATCCGCCCATACGGTTTTTATTTTCAAAATTACTGCTATTTTCAAAATTCCTGGAACACCAGATAAAAATTGACCGAATGATTTTTCGGCCGTTCCGATTAAGTCATTGATTTCGGCATGATAGATACGATCTAAATTACGTTACATACATTGTAATTTGATTATATATATATGTTTTCGCACAAACTAAGTTGTTGGGCAAGTGTTCAAATGAAAATTGAACGTGTCGGCATTTAAAATTATCTGCAAAACTAGTATCATGGCTTTTATATACGAGGTAGAAATTTGCGTAATTTTACATATAAATTTCTGGCATATAATATCTGTATGTAAATAGCTTTTTGGCCAAAAATTTCGTAAAGCTGACATATAAAGTCTAGTAGTGCTGGTAAAACTTTCGCACTATTTAATTAGGGTAGCTGCGCGACGCGTGACGCCGCGCAGGACCAGTACGATCACGTATTACATGTAAATTCGGACTATTCAAAATTTTTTGATAAAGGATTTTAATACTCATTAAGCAAACCAAACTTAGA